AGATGATAAGTGGCAATTAGGTAGGTTTAATATTCAGAATATAAAGAACAATTTAGAAAATGATTAAACAGCATTTACTGTACCTCAAGTCTTCCTTTGCATCTGAATAGCACACAGCTCAAATGGTCCTTCCCTCCCGCTACATTTTTAACACTGCTGACCAGTCACAAGATAACTCGTGCCTGCACTTACATTAATTTAAGTAATTTTAAACACTTTGCTTACCAGTCATGATGGAAAAGTAGCTGGCTGCACGGGCGAGTTCTGGCTAGAAATTGCCTGTCAGCAAGGTGTAGCTGTACCACCTTTAGTTATTACTTTGCACACACTTGGTTTTCCCAAAGGTCAGCTATTTAATGCCTTCTTGTCATTGATTTCATAGTTATGTCTGAGCTTACAGTTTACCTCTAAGTATATTTGACTTAATATCCTCCTAAAGATGTTTTAATTGGTTTGTCTTTATTGCCTGACTGGCATTATCTTAGAAATTTTTTCATGATTATTTCAAGTGAACTCTTTTTCTGGATAAACCATCTGCCACAGAAATTGACACAACAGAGTGACTGATACTAAATGAACAGTTGAGAAGCTACTGGGTTACTTTAAAACATTTAAAATTATTACACAGAGAATTCATACATAGACCATTGTAGTTTCTAAGCTCCTTAAATCAAAGCCTTCAAAGAAGTTACAAAGAATTTGATAAATCTATCTCTGCACAAGTGTGATACTGGTTCATACTGGTTTTGCTGAATTCCTTTGATTCTTGTACCAAGTGATAGGAAGCTGAAAAGTAAAAATTTCTTAATGTTATGGACAGGAACACTGGGTTTCTCGTATTTTGAGTGGTGGTATTAACTGACAATTCTAATTTGTTTTCAAGCTAGTACATGAAACGAGTTGATATGTTTCTTAGTAAGTAGTTCATTGTGCTTCACCCTGGGTGGCAATTTTTTTTTTATCATAGTCTGAACCTTTAGTAAATTTCTATAGAAACTTGTTCCCATTACCTTCACCAGAAGGTACTTTAAATATACAACATACATAGTTGATTGTTATAAAGAAACAAAAATGGGTATTTTTCAGTCTCCATTTGGTCGTGATTACTGTATTATTCAGTTTAGTATTCATACATTTAGAATCGAATAAAGTCTCCAAGGATTGTAGGTTTATTGGGAAAAGATGTTTTGTTATAAATACTTGTTTAAAAATAAACTCCAGGAAATACAGCACTGGCTCACTCCTCCCCATAGTGGGCTTCCCTGCTGCCTTTAAAGGATTTAGGCAAAGGCAAACTCTGGACTGTGCTGTGACGCAAGAAGTAAATATTAAAGGAAAAGAAAAATCACATAAGTTTTAAAAATTCCATCAGCAAAGTAGGAGAAGGGAGTTGTTGAGGCACGAGAGTGGTGAGGTTGACTTATGTGCACCCCCCTTTTTTTCTTAAAGCAAATTATTGTTTACCAAAAGCACATGCTGTATATTTTGTTCCCTTTTGTGTGTTTATAGTGTTTTGAAGAATAAATGAATTGGGTATTTGTGTGTGGGGATGTTAAAAGTTGTGGCTGCTCTTTTTGTGGAAGGGAAAAACAAATGAAGTTAATGCACTTCTTTTCCTAGCTCAAAGTCACTGTGATGTATATTTTTTTAATGAAATTTAGGAATAAAGCTCTTGTCATGATTGTAAAATGTTTCAAAATGCTGCTTCTCTTATCATTAGTCTAGTAACTGAACTGTTTTCTGCAAACTGCATTTTACAGAATTTAAACTCTGAAACGATATCGACTTTTATAGTTAAACATTGTATTAAATAAACTATACTATAATAAACTGTTTGTTTTTGTATTTTTAAAATTATTGTATTAGTTATTTAACCTTTATTTTTATTAAAAGCTAAATAATGAAAACAACTAAAATATAATTTTATTTTACCCATGAGGATGTAGAATTTGTATTAGGGAAAAAACTGAGCAAAGTGGAACAATACTGAGCTTCTTTAAGAATTTAGCCAGCAGTGATGATTTCCAGAAAGTTTAGGAATAAGTCCTAGTGTAAATGTTTAATCATGTTTTCAATTGCTGTGTGTCTTCACCTCAGAAAACTTTTTAAGGTTACACTAGGAATTTGCATTACAATCTAGTAAAAAAGCCCATTTGCTTTTTAATTCCCCCAAATTTCTCAGCATTGGGAACACTATCTTTGCCTTCCAGTTTTAATATAACAGTGTTATAAAACTATATAAATGTTAATTGTAAGAAAAATTGACTCTAGCTTTTGGCTTCTTTGGTTTTTTAATTTAAATTAGACATATGTAGGGAAAATGCACCTACCTAACTTGAGACTTACGGAAAATATATATGCTTAGGTAAAAACGTTCTGACTATCCAGTGATTTGTGTGTATTAACAGGTGAATATTATTTTAAATTCTGGAGTGTTTTTAAAATGCTTTATTTAGCAAGGAAAATATGTAAAATGTGAGTGCTTCATCATATGGACTGTGCAAATTGTGTATTAAAATACTTTTAATATCAACTTGCTTTTTCTATTTTCATTGCTTTTTAGGTTTCTTTCCTAAACATTTCCTAATCTAATACTGTATTCCCTTTTTATTTTTAAATGCTGGTTCATAATTTTTTACACCTTCCCTCATCCCCCCTCCAAAGTCCTCAGTGCCTACAATGTCTTGGTTCTAGTTTACATCTTCGTACAAATTTTAGCTATGGGTTTCTTTTATCAAGGTAGCAGATTAGAACAGTTGTTTCCACTGCTCTGTGTGTTGCCATTCCATTCTTTACACTCAGTTGTGTGTGAATAATTTTAAAACTGCATAGCCTTTTTATTTATTGACTTCAAAGAGAAGAAGGGAGAGAGAAACATCAATGATGAGTCATTGACCAGCTGCCTCCTGCATGCCCCCTACTGGGGATTGAGCCTGCAACCCAAGCATGTCCCCTGGCAGGGAATCGAACCGTAACCTGGTTATGCCATTTTTTAAAAGTATAGGTGGCCATCTTTGTCCCAGATATACTTAGTCACAGTCTTGAGTATGAGCGAGAGTCACTGCCCTGTGTAGCCTATGAGAGGGTGTTGTGGAAGTCCTGAAATGACATGCAGGATGGTGGGGTGGTGGGTGGGGGAATAGTACACCTTACTGCTCAAGGAGCTGTTTCATCAGGTTCCCAGAGAGGACCATGACATCAAATATTTTTGCTATAAGACTTGGTCCCTTAGAGAATGATGGTCTGTGATTTCTATCTATACTCAGCATTCCCATTTGAAGAAATCTATCTCAAAAGTACACTGGTTAAAATATGAAACAAAACTGTTAGAGAAATTTATAATAGCAAAGACGCGATCTTGCCTGTTGGTATGCCACTGGTTGAATAAACTGGTACGTGCGTGCAATATGCCACGTGGCGGGAGGGGGCGGTATGGGGGTCTATATACTGGGCTGTCATCTCTAGGACATGTTAAGTGAAAAAAGCTTGCTTTGTGCAAGAGTGAAATGCAAATGTACATATACTTGCTTATATTAAACAACAGGCAAAGGACAGCAGTGAACAGGTAACCTACTTTTCTGGGGCGTGGAGGAGAAAATCTTTGTAAATCATACCTGATACGAGGTTAATATCCACTGTATGTAAAGAACTACCAACTCAACAAAAAACCAATGATGAAAAATCTACTCAAAAGGACTTGAATCAACATTTTTCCAGTGTTGATAAATTCACAACATAACCAGATGGGGAACTGCTAGTCAAAACCACAATGTGACAGCATTTCATACACATTAGGATGGCTATCAAAATAAGTGCTAGTGAAGATGTGCACCCTTGTGCAGTGCTCGTAAGAATGTAAAGTGGTGCAGCTCATGGAAAACACGATGGTTCCTCAGAAAATTTTACAAGTCCACTTTTGGTCATATATCCAAAAGAATTTAAAGAGTGTCTCAGAGAGCTGCACGCCAGTACTTATAGCAGCATTATCCATCACAGCCAAGGGCTGGGAGTAACCGAAGTGTCCATGGATAAAGTAAGTTTGGGGGGTGTGTGGGTGTGTGTGTGTGTGTACAGATTTAATACTCAGTCCTAGAAAAGAATTCTGACACATGCTACACAACATTAGATGACCTTGATAACATTATGCTAATGGAGATAAACCAGTCAAAGAAAGAAATACTGTACAATTCTACTTCATGAGGTATCTAGAGTGGTCAGATTCATAGGAAGTAGAATGATAGGTCCCAGGAGCTGGGGGTAGGAGGTTTGGGGTGGATGGAGAGTTGTTTAATGGGTATATAGTTTCGGTTTTGCAAGATGACAAAGTTCCGGAGATGGGCTACACAACAATATGAATATATACTACTAAACTGTACTCTTAAAAATGTTTAAGATGGTAAAATTTGTATTCTGTATTTTATGTCACAGTCAAAAAAATTCAAGGAGCAGGGGGATGCAATTCATAAAAAGCCACTGAACCTCTATCAAGTTGGTTGCCTAACTACATGTAGAAGGATTATTTCAACTGACCTTAAAACATGGTAATTTGCATGTTTAGTGAGATACACTCTGAAATAAACCACAAAGAAGCCATAAATTGTATTCAATAATCATATTGATAGTAATAATGTTGGTAGTGTTATTTAAAACTAAAATTTAAGTATTGAATGATAATTTTCTGAAAAGTACTTCCATTGGAATATTAATCAGCTATAAAAAGCTGATGATGGTATAGCATTGGCTAAACCTTGAAACTATGCTAAATGAAATAGGCCAGATACAAGGCCACAGTATGATTCCATTTATATGAAATATCCGAAATAGCCAAGTCCACAAAGACAAAGCAGATTAGTGGTTGCCAGGGGTGATGGAGAGAGGGAGAGGGGAGTGACTGCTTAATAGGTACAGGGTTTCCATTTGGAGCAATGAAAAGGTTCTGGAACTTGATCATCGTAATGGTTATACAATGTTATGAATATAAATGCCACTGAACACATTTCTAAGTGGTTAAAATTACACATTTTATGTTGTGTATGTATTTTTATAAAAAATAAACCAGGGGTGAAGATCCAACATAATTATACTTAGATGAAGAGCAGTTTATTAAAATATAAGCATTTGTAGCTTATTAGTTACAGTTTAGTCTCTCAATCTTAAAAATAAACTTTTTTCTACCATGTAAAACCTAGCCTTCCCTTAGACTTTTGAAAATTATTATATTTTGATCCCTGAGAGTTATAACAAGGGAGCTGGACTCCAGAGAAATCATTTGCCTGATAGCTAGGTCTTAATCCACCTCTGTCCATAAAAGCTGGTCCATGGCCACCTCCGGGTCCTCCCTGTACAGATTTTACAAGTGGAAAAACATATTTATTTGTTGATTCAGACTCAAGTTCAATTACTTCTCTGGCATAATCTTGAAATTCTTTCTCCTTTTCAACCACAAGATCGTTAGTAAGTCTGCAATACTCTAGTTGTGCTTGTTTTGCTTGCTGTGCATTAAACTTATTTTTGGCCTATTGGGGAAAGAAAGAAAATACAATTTCATATGTATTTTCATAAGTAAGACCAATTTTCCAAATATATATAGCATTTGAAGTTGTAGATATAATTTTCTAAACTCATTGATATTTGACAAGTTCTAACTTAACAACTATATACTATAATTTATTTCAGAAACTCTCCCATGCATCTCACAATATCATCCTTCTCAAAAATCATGGCTCAATGAAACTTACCTTAATAGTCTTATGTGATGACACATCTTTAAATAATATAGCAAAATAGTTAAAAACATGAAATTTAGATAAAATCAAATAACCAAGTTTAGAGTCCTGTTTCTACCATTTACGACATGTTCTTTGGCAGGTGTAGGAGGCATACCAATCACTGTCCCCACCCTTCCACTATTTTGAAGGAACTCACCCAAACTCACTGTCCTCAGTCATCCCAATATACCATGTGCCGCAGGCACATAAGATGAAATTGGCAGTGAATATCTGAACTAAGTTAAACGAACCAAGTGCTCTGTTTCCTAATAATTTGAAGTTTGAACAAATGACATTTATCAGTGTGGGTTGATCAGGTGCTGGGTGGGATAAGTACAGTAAGCAATTTACAAAAGCCAATTTACCAACATTTCATAAAATTTTTAAACTCATTATATTCACAAAAATATTATACCTTTAACTGTTTACATTATATGAGGTGATTTTAAAGACTTTTAAAGATTTCTATGAAGTTTTGGTTAAGAACTTTTTCATTTTGTCTTCTCAGTGGCTCTTTTTAAAAATGGTGGGTTTGCAAAAAATGAATGATGAGCATTGGCCTAGGATCCAGGAGATCGGGGTTCAGTTCCCGGTCAGGGCACATGCCTGGGTTGTGGTCTTGATTCCCGGTCGGGGGCGGGCAGGAGGCAGCCGATCAATGACTCTCTCATCATTGACGTTTCTATCTCTCTATACCTCTCCCTTCCTCTCTCTGAAATCAATAAAGATATATTTTAAAAAACCAAAACACTGAGTTTGCAAAAAATGAGTGATTTTTTTTTGTATACTCATGAATATATTTTAATATTCATAAAAATATTTTTCAAAATCAGTAACCAACACTTCAGCATAAAATAGTAACCCAAACCTGACACCTACCACAAATTGAGATTTATGAGGAAATAGAGCAACCATATGAAAATAGAATACCAAATTTTTATTACTGAGTGCTGTGATTCAAAATTAAAGCTCACATGCTGTTTGTTAAATTGGTGATAGACTACCAGGAGCTTGAAAAAATAGAAAGTGACATTCAATAAGATTTTTTAAAAAGTCAGAAAAAGCTATAAACTATCTCATCAAAGGTAAAATACTATAATGTGGGATCTTAACAAGAAGCAACTGGGATATGTTGACTTGGTGGTTTGTAGAAAGATACTGAGGGAACGGAGAAACCTTTCAAGTATGGAAGCAAGGGACAATGGAAGGAAAGGATCACATAACAGATCATATGACTGATGCCTCAAATTTTGATATGCACTAAGCATAAATACAGACTCAAAGAAACTTAAAATAGTGGTTAAAAAGTAACACACACCTTTGAAGGATGCAAGAGAGCTAATATTTTGGACACTGGAAAATAAAGTGAAAGAATCAAGTATTTATTCTGTCTTTTCTTTAAAAACTGTCCCTCAGGGACACCAAACTGCTGATCATGAGAAGGTTTTTGAAGACATAAACTAGTGCATCAGAAGGGTATTGACATTTTGCCACCTTATGAATTAAGAGATTTAGACAATGATTATCAAAGGCTGTTCATATCACAGAAAGTGAGACAACAGTCACTTTGTGCCGTCTAATAGAAGTATGCAGTAAGTGTATGAGAAGAAATTTCACCAAAAAACTTGAATCTGACCTAAACTACATTTTACATGAAATGCAGGGAACACATTAAACTACACCTCAGGGATCCAAACAGCAAAGTCAGACTAATAATTCTAAAAGACAAAAAAAAACAGTTTCTTCAATAAACAAAAAAGAAACACAATACAGACAAGGAGGGAGAACTTAAGACAAAAAGAACGAAGGTAGAGGAGGAGCTACAGAGAAAAGGGCCTGAAAAACATGCCAACCCAACAGCACACAGACCTTACTCAATCCAATTCAAACAACGTAATTTAAAGAATAGTGAGGCAATTTGGGGGGAATTTAAACACCAAATGCTGATTGTTTTAGCTGTGATAATGAAATTGTGATTACATTAATTTCTAAAGAGTCCCCGAGTCTTAGAGATACATTCTGAAATATACATTAATAGAGTTATATGATCGCTGGGATTTGCTCCCAAACAATATGGCAGATCCTACTTCTGGTTATGGCTGCATGAGGAGGTTGAACAATTTCCCTCCATGAGTAGCAAGTTTACTATTAAAAATTAAAATCAAATATTTCAGAGTACTAGAAAGTGACCATGTGCAGGCAAATATTTGAAAAGTGTCTTTTCATGAAAAAAAATTGCTGCTAAATCAGGTAAGAACTGCAACCTTAGGGCATTCTTGTCTACAGGGCAATGCCTCCAGCTCAGGTGATGAAAACTTACAGATTTACTTGACAATAATGTCAAATTCCATTTGGGTTGAGTGGTAAAGCAGCTAGAAATTTAAGGGGGGAGATTCTGGAAGCAAGATAGTTATAGAAGAATTGAGATAATAAACTCTACAGACATCCCTGACTAACTGATAAACTACACATTCACACAGGAGATCCCAGGGCACCTGGCAAAAATTAAAAGCCTGGAGGAGATTGTGAATTTGCTGTTCTTTGGCATACCATCCTCAACCCATACACCCCAGCTTGTGCAGCAGAGGTAAAAGTGCTGCTGGCTTACCTTGTCTGAAGATAAATTCTACCCACATTATTGGTGACTGTCAATGCCAGTATAGGGAGGAAACCTAGAGAGCCAGACTTACAAAAACAAACAACAGCAGAGACATCAAAGGCTACCTATTCTGGTGATGATGGATTTCATAGCTTGCATCCAAGGAAAGTAATTGCCTACTAAAACAAAGAGCAACGACTCTCAGAACAAAACAGAATCTATAACATACTCTATACAAGGTCAAGTTTTCAATTAAAAATTACTAGACTTGCAAAGAAACAGGAAAGTGTGACATAGTTCTAAGGGAAAAACAGGACAGTTCTGAACAGCATACTAAATTTAACAATTAGATTTCAAAGTAGCTATTTTGAATATATCCAAAGAATTAAAGGAAATATAGGGAATCTAAACAGAAAAATAGAAACTATAGAAAAGAACCAAATGAAAATTGTACAGTTGAAATGAAAAATTCACTAGATGAGTTCAACATCAGAATTAGTGAATCTGAAGGTAGATCAACAGAAGTTGTCCCATCTGAAGAACAGAAAGAAAAAGATTGATGAAAAATGAATAGAGCATCAGAGATCTCTGGTATGATATCAAATGTCTTTGTACATACTAATTGGACCCCTGGGGGAAAGGAGATAAAGAGGCAGGAAAGATATTTGAAGAAATAATGGTCAAAAACATGCCACATCCAAGAAGTACCACAAACCCCAAATAGGATAAACACAAGAAAAACACATCATAGTCATTCTTCCGAGAGCCAAAAATAAAGGAAAAATCTTAAAATCAAGAGAAAAATGACATCATTTGGGGGGACCAACAATATGATTAATAGCAGATTTCCAATCATAAACAATGAAGGCCAGAAGACACTAAAACAACATATTCAAAGTGGAAAAATATGGCACCCAACAATTTTATATCCAGTGAAATGAAGGTAAGATAAAGACATTATTAGAAAAACAATCTGGCCCTGGTCGGTGTGGCTCAGTTGGTTGGAGAGTTGTCCTGTACACCAGAAGGGGACAGGTTCAATTCCCAGCCAGGGAACATACCCAGATTGCAGGCTGGATCCCCTGTTGGGGGGGTGGGGCGTGTATAGAAGGTAACCAATCAGTGTTTCTCTCTCACACTGATGTTTCTCTCTCTCTCTCTTCTTTCCTCTCTCTAAAACTCAATTTAAAAAAAAGAAAAACTGAATTTATTGCTAGCCCACCTGTGTACTATAAAACATACTAAAGGAAGTCTTGAGGCTGAATTGAAATGGCTTATAAGCATATGAAAAGATGCTCAACATCATTAATCATTAGGGAAAAGCAAATGAAAGCCATCACTTCAAACCCATTATGATGGCTACTATAAACAACAAAACCAACAACAACAAACCCAGAAAACTACAATTTGTTGGGAATTTGGAGAAATTGGAACCCTTGAACATTGCTGGTAGGAATGTAAAAGGGTACAGCTGCTATAGAAAACAGTACAGTGATTCTAAAAAAAAAAAAAAATTAAGCACAGAATTACCCTATAATCCAGCAATTCCACTTCTTGGTATATAAACAACAGAGCCAAAAGGAGAAACTCGAACAGATATTTGTATACCAATGTGCAAAGAAGCATTACTTGCAATAGTCAAAAGATGGAAACAACCCAAATCCATTCGTGGATGTATGGATAAAATGTGGGACACATGTAAAATGGAATATTATTCAGCCTTAATAAGGAATGAAACTGACACATGTGGCAACATGGATGAACCTTGAAGACATTATGCTAAGTGAGGTAAGAGACCAAAAGGACAAATACTGTATGATTCCACTAATCTGCGGTATCTGGAATAATCATATTCCCAGAGACAGAAAGCAGAATAGTGGTTCCAGAGGCTGGGAGGACGGGAGACTAGTTACCATTTAGTGAGTACAGAGCTTCAGTGGGGGAGGAAAACTTACGGGTATGGAGAGAGGTGAGAGTTGAACCCCAGTGTGAATGTACTTAATGCCCCTAAACTAAATGGATAAAATGGTAAATTTTATGTTATATATATTTTACCACATTAAAAAATAAGTTAAAACTCAACAGTAAGAAACCAAACAACCTAATCAAATAATTAGCAAAAAGATTTGAGTAGACACTTCACAAAGGAAGGCACACAAATGGTTAAGAAGAACACGAAAAGATATTCAATATTTTTAGTCATTAGAGAAATGCAAAAAAACACCATGAGATATCACTACACTAGAAGAGTCAAAATCAAAGGATAATACCAAGTGTTAGAGAGGATGTGGAGCAACTTGTCTTCATGTATGTTGCTGGTAGGAATGGAAAATGGTACAGCCATTTTGTAAAACAATCTTTAGCTACAAATGATTGAATGGCAGGTCCATCACACATGTTCTAAAATTTCTGGTACCCCTATTCACGGCAGATATGAAACTTGTGAGATCCCAATCAATATAGTTTTCAGGTTATAGTTATAAGGAGGGGAAAAGTAAAACAAAGAAGAAAAGCATCATGGCCTGCCATATGCATTTGCATTTTCTTTAATATTTACTGAAACACAATGGACACTAAACAAGGGTAAATTTTTGTGCAAAACACATACATCTAGTATGTGAACTTCAATAGAGATAAAAACAGAAACTAACGCTTCACATTTCTTATATATCTTACTGTGTCATAACCGTAATGACCAGCTGATCTTCCTTGACAAAGGAATCTACTTGGGAAAGAAAACTATCACGAACTCTATATTACACATTTATTGCTAAAATAAGTATAAACATTTAGGAATAATTACCATTTGCTGAATATGGGCATCCTGAACTTCGAGGCGTTCTTTATCAGCTTTGCGTTTTTTCTCCTTTTCATGCTCCCAGAAAGCCTTATCTGCCTTCATGACAGCCAGCAAATGTTCTTTACCCTCTATTTTTCTTTGTCTTTCTTCTTCCTCTTTATTTTTCATCTAGATGTTAAAAGGCAAAGGAAAGCACTGAAAGCACTTTCAGCAAACAGTGCTGTGTAAAGAAGGCACCAGCTCAGAGCGTTCAGGCAGAAAGCTAGCCTGGAGCAATGCGAGGGCAGAAACCTGCACGCACCCGGGCTCATTCCCATTTGGACACCTTACTTTGGTTTTATTTTGTTTCCTGAGTATCAGGGAGCACACAGTGAAAACTTAAATAGAATGGTATTTGTTTAAAAAGAAAATAGAGAATAGAAAAAGTGCCCGGCCAGCGCAGCTCAGTGATTGAGTGTCACTCTATGACCCAGGGAGTCAGGTTCAATTCCAAGTCAAGGTCATGTCCCTGGGATGCAGGTCCAATCCCCACCCCCATCTGGGCGAGCCTGGGAGGCAACCAATCCATGTGTGTCTGTCACATCGATGTTTTTCTCTCTCTCCTCTCTCTCTATCCCCCTCTGCCCTCCCTTCCACTCTCTCTAGAAAATTAACAGGAAAAAAATATCCTCACTCCTCAGGTGACGATTAAGAAAAAGCTGTGTCCCGGCCGGGCGTGGCTCAGTGGTTGAGCATCGACCTAGGATCCAGGCGATCAGGGTTCGATTCCCGGTCAGGGCACATGCCTGGGTTGCGGGCTAGGCAGCCGATCAATGACTCTCTCATCATTGATGTTTCTATCTCTCTCTCTCTCCCTCCTTTCCTCTCTCTGAAATCAATAAAGATATATTTTTAAAAAAAAGAAAAGAAAAAGCTGTGGTATGTGTACGCAACGGAATACTGCACAGCTGTGAAGAAGAGGAACTCTCAGCCTTTGCAACAGCGTGGATGGAGCTGAAGATGATTATGCTGAGTGAAATGAGCCAGTCAGAGAAAGACAAATGCCATATGATCTCACTTGTATGTGGAATCTAATGAACAAAATAATCTAACACAAAAAACAGAACCAGAGGCATGGAGCACTGGAACAGACTGAGGGATGTCAGAGGGCAGGAGGGTGGAGTGACTGGACAAAAAAAGGCAGAGATCAGCCAAAGAACATACATACATAGCCCGTGGCTACAGACAACAGTGAGGTAAAGGCCGGGGGAGGCGGGGGGGCAAATGGGGGACATCTGTAATGTGTCAACTATAAGTTTCAAAAAAATTTTTGTATTTCAGATGGTTCTGAAACAGAAGAGATTATTACTTTGCACCTGTAATTGATTGTCATGTTATCTTCTGTTAGGAAGTAAGCATGGTCTGATTTCAGGAATAGAGGAAGATAATTCATATATTGTTTTTCAAATCTCTGATTTTTTTTTAAAATCAGAGATGCAGAGGGATTTAGAAACTATAGTGGAAAGGGTTTAACTTTTTTTGTTTAATTTTTATTGTCAAAATGGAATTGCTTACCACAAGGTCTCTATATTCTTCAATCGCTTTTAATTCTGCTTTGTTTTTTTCATATTTTTCCTTTTCCCTTTTTTCCCATTCAGCGTCAGCTTCCTCTATATCTCTAGCAATAATCAAATCTTCATTGTCGAGTTTCTGTTTCATTAGTCCACTCAGGAAGTTATTTATTCTTTCTCTACGTTCCTCCATCAGCCTATAACAAAATAACCATCATGCCAAATCTTCATGAATAGATCTGCTATGGAGTCAACATAATTTGGAGAGTCAGATATTTTATACTCTTTTACAAGAATAAAAGGAGCCCCATTACTCCTTATATATATATATATTGTCTTAAATGGAATTATTTTTTAATACTTCATTTCTAGAATAAAGCAGACAGTAATCCTCCCTTATCTGTGGTTTTGCTTTCTGTGTTTTTAGTTACCTGTGATCAACCACAGTCCAAAAATATTAAATGAAAAATTCCAGAAATGAACAATTCATAAATTTTAAATTGCACATCATTCTGAGTAGTGTGACGGAATCTCGCTTTATCCCGCCCAGGACATGAATTATCCCTCTGTCCATCATATCCATGCTGTCTACACTACCTGCCTGTTAGTCACTTAGTGGCCATCTTAGGTGACTAACTCAGGTCAAATACTATCATATTAGAATACTATTTTATTCTAAAAGTCCAAAGGGAGCAATGCATATAATATGATCTCGTGTATGTGTAAGTGCATATAGGAAATAAGTGTTAAAATTCTCCACAATGAAAAATATTTTAAAATACTTTTACTCTAACACTGGAGACTTAGGTTATAAAATAAATCAAAGGCCTTTCTACAAATAAAATCTCAAAAATATCTAGTAAAAGTTATCAAAATTCTGAATAGATCCATCCTCTTACTATCTGCAAAATTGCAGATAAGGGGGGACTACCTTATTTTTTAAAGGACTGGGGCATTTTTATTTAGGAAATTGAGCTAAAAATACTTTTAAATTTAGATGTGACAAATTCACTAAATTAATGAGTGCATTTGCAAAGTAATGTGGGAGAAATGAGGAGAGAGGATACAGTGCCTGTCCCAAGGAAATTACAACCTGAAGTGGAGAGAAGACATTTACACAGGTAACTATACCGGCAAAAGGTGATAAATGCCATGAGGAAGCTAGAAAATGATATGGGCAAAAGAAAAAAAAAAGGTTTCATGGAAAAGGTGACATTTCATCTAAGCTTTCAAACACAATATTTTAAACACTTTTATTGCTTGCTTGCTATGTGCGAGGCACTGTTCCAGGTGCTGGAGACATAACAATAAACAAAAACATTAAAAGTCTCTGCCCTCATGGAGCTTTTGTTATAGCTGGGGTAGGGGGACAGTAAACAAAATAAATAATTAAAATAATGCTCCCTGGCCAGTGTGGCTCAGTTGGTTGGGTGTCATCCCATGCACCAAAACACTGCTGGTTGGATTCCCCAGTCAGGACTCATGCCGGGGTAGGGTGCGTGCAGGAAGCAGCTGATTTGCTGATTAATACTGCGATCTCACATTGGTGTTTCTCTCTCCCTCTCTCCCTTCCTCTCTCTCTAAAAAAAAAAAAAAAAAAAAAAAAAAAAAAAATTTTTAAA